CTGAAGGATCTGATGCCCTTATTTATATTGAATTGTACATGACTGATAAAACTAGAATATGTCACCATTGAAGGTTTATTCTCGGTTTGCTCCCTCATTCCCACCCCAGATCCATTTTCTATCTTTCTTAGTTGTGGGGAGGGTGACCGCTGGGACCGCATTACCCAGGCCCCCTCACCCTGTGGCTTCTGGTTGGGTTGGCCAATGGGGCCACTGCCAGGAGATCTGAGGGCACGTAGAGAAGAACATGGAGATATTTCATGCCTGGTGCAGCCTCACACCCCTGGGCAGTGGCTGCGTCTCTACAGCCTTCTCCCCCTCAAGGTGGCTCTTCCACAGCTCAGCTCTCACTGGGCTCCCTTTGGTTCTGCCACCCTAGATGCTAACAGCTGCCTGCTGTCGCAAGTCCCAGGGCGCCTCGCCATCCCTGCTGGTTCTTTCCATCCTGCCCACTTCACTGTAAGTTGTCCTGCCATTAATTGCCTTATTTTATTTTTCAGTTAAACCCTTTTGAGTGTACTGTCTGATCCCTGCTAGGACTCTAATACAGAGTGTTGCATTTTTATCAGGTACAAGGTCCTAATTTGCCTTAAGCCAAAGCAATGAAGTTCTAATCGTAGAATCTGGGGCCAGAGGGAGTCCAGAGAGAGCAGGTATTTTTTGATGGGGGAAGTGTGCCAGTGTATCTCAGTGCCTTGAAATCCAACTATATCAAGGCCTGGTAGCTGGCTTCAGAATAATTTTATTCTGTTCCACTGCCATGAACTGAGAAGCTGCTGCATTCCAGACATGGTGCTCAGGCTTATGGGAACCAAGGACGATGGAGACCAGGCCCTGTGTCCGAAAGCCTCACACTCAGAGACACTCGAGCCAGGGCAGAATGAAAGTCCTGGAATGGAATTGAATGTGACAGGCAGCCAAGCAGGGCAAAGCCGGCTGAGATAAGGACCTAATCAGAGTTCAGACAGAGAACAGTAGTGGAACAGCAGACGGAGGCTTTGTTCCAACGCTGGGGACCTGGGAGGACCTCACAGGGTGGAGGAGGAGGTCACACAGGACCTTGGAGAACCGTGAAGCCAGCCAATCAGCTGCCTCAGTGCACAAGCCAGAGTGGGGCCCCTTTCTACAGCCTCCTGGGGGAAGCCTTCTTGGACGCCCAGGCAGTTTTATTTGCTCTGGATTCTAACCGCACATCTACTTTCCTCCTACGGCTCCCACTGATCGAGGGCTTACCCTGTGCATGCACTGTGCTGGGGGGCTTTGAATGCATGAGCCCATTCAATCCTCCAATCCCCCTTGCAGGGGGTGCTATTCGTCCCATTTTATAGCTAAGGAAACTGAGGCTCAGTCCGAGGGACCAGCCCACGATTTTATGAACAAGCCCGGGAGGAAACAGGATTTGAATCCAGACTGCCTGGCCCAGAAATGCACACTCTCAATCACTTTATTTTATCTGCATTGATTTCTAACTTGAGGCAGGGGTGGTACTGAGCACTTTGTATCGTTATCTCATTTGCTCCTCACAGCGCCCCCATGAGGTAGGTCCGAGTATCAACCCCACTTTACAGAAGAAGAAACTGGCCACCAAGAGGGTCCTTTCAAGGTCATGGTGGAGTCAAGGTTTGAACCCAGGAGACCAACTAGGAATTCATGCCTCCAGCCCCTACCTTCTTTGAGAGCAGGGCCTAGATTATTAACATTTTAATACACCTTATTTTGTAGAATGGTTTTAGATATACAGAAAAATTATGAAGATAATACAGAGAGTTTCCTAATTGTTCTTGCTAGGACTTCCAATACTATGTTGAATAACAGCTGCAAGAGTGGGCATCCTTGTCTTGCTCCTGATCTTAGAGGAAAAACTTTCAGCTTTTCACCACTGAGTATGATGTTAGTGGTGGGCTTGTCATACATGGCTTTATCACGTTGAGGTATTTTCCCTCTATAACCACTTTGTTGAGAGTTTTCTTCATAAATGGATGTTGAATTTTGTCAAATGTTTCTTCTGCATCTGTTGAGATGATCACATGGCTTTTATCCTTCATTTTGCATCCCTGGAATAAATGCCACTTGATCGTGGTGTACAATCCTTTTAATGTATTGTTGAACTCGGCTTGCTAATATTTTGTTGAGGATTTTTGCATCTATGTTCATCAGGGATATTGGCTTATGCTACAATTACCAACATTCTGCCACTCTTGCTTCATCTATTCCTCTACCCACTTCCCACTCCTACTCTCTTCACTGCTTTTCTCTTACAGCCTCCACCCCCCGCCTTTTTTTCTGGGGAGAAGTCACACATATTACAATATGCAAATCTTAGGCTACACAGTTTTAACAAGTGGGCACAGCTGCATAACACACACCCCTTTCATGATAGGAAGCATGTCCATTCCCACTATTTTTTTTTTAAGTTTATTTATTTATTTTTGGCTGCGTTGGGTCTTCGTTGCTGCACGCAGGCTTTCTCTAGTTGCAGCGAGCAGGGGCTACTCTTCCTTGCAGTGTGCAGGCTTCTCACTGTAGTGGCTTCCCTTGTCGTGGAGCACGGGCTCTAGGCACGCGGGCTTCAGCAGTTGTGGCATACGGGTTTAGTTCCTCTGAGGCATGTGGGATCTTCCCAGACCAGGACTCGAACCCATGCCCCCTGCATTGGCAGGTGGATTCTTAACCACTGTGCCACCAGGGGTGTCCCACCCCAACTATTTTCTGTCCTATTTTCTAGGACCATCCACCCCCCCCATCCAGAGATAACCACTGTCCTGATTTTTTCACCTTAGGTTAATTTTGCTTGCTCTGAAACGTCATGTAAATGGATTCATATAGTTTGCACTCTTTATTTCTTCTTTTCTGGCTTCTTTCACTGTGTATAGTGTCTCTGAGGTTCACCCACGTTGTTGTGTGTGTCGGTATTGTATCCCTTTCTATTGCCGAGTGGCACTGCATTGAATGCATTTGCTGCATCTTGTTCATCTGTTTTCCTGTTGATGGGCATTTGGACTGTTACCAGTTTGAGCTGCTGTGAATAAAGCTGCTGTGAACATTTTTGTCCAAGTCATTTTGGGGTGTATGTTCTCATTTCTCTTGGATAAACACCTCTTTGTATGTTTCTGTATCCATCAATGCTGACGATCTAGTCAGTACTCAGAAAAAGTGTGGTAAAATGAACTGAGTCGTGGAACTAAGAGCTGCGAGGTGGCAATAATCAACCGTTTCATATAGTAAAGTGCATTTCATATAGTAAAGTTCCAAAGTTGAGGGTGAATGCCAATAGCAAAGGCTGGATAAAAAGAAAGGACATCTGAGGTAGGGACTGAGTGATTCAGTCAAGAATTTTGAAAAAGAACAGCCTTTGAAGAAGAGCCAAAACGTAGAGACAACCAGGAGACTTCCTCCTGCAAGGGACGGAGACTTCTCTCCAACATGCTGGCTGGACTGGAGTCCTGCAGGGTGTCTCTGCTGGGGTCAAAATGGTGCACTTGGAGCAAAATCACGACGCCCAGAGTTTGTTAGTGAGATTCTTCACGATGTTTTATATCTTGCTGAAGAGCGTTGATACCCTTTGTTTTGTCCTCCCTAAATCCACTGCTGAACTGCCACACTGAGAGACTTTGTCCTGCCAGGGCTAGTCCAGAACAGGAGACCATCCAGCAATCTTTTCTCCTGGCGCTGGGAGATGTTTGTGTGTAGCTGGGAAATCTGGGCTCCTGCCATTAATTAGCCATGTGCGCCTTTGTCTCCAAAGTTCTTTCCAGCTCTGAAATATTACAACCTGGCAACTATACTTCTTTTTTCAATACATATTTTTTCTTATTACAAAGGTATATGAATTTACCATAGATAGTTAGAAAATATAAATAACAGAACCGAAGAAAATATAAAATCACTCACCATTTCACCACTCAGTGCTGACTCTTATTAACCTTCGCTCATTCATTAACACATATTCATTGAGTGCCTACCATGTGCTGAGCAGTTTGAAGTGTGTCTTTCTAGACAATTTATATTTTAATGAAATCCTCCTGCTTTGTAACCTGCCTTTCACTTAATAGACAGTGGTGAACACAGTCTCACGTCAGTAAATATTTTTCTACAACGTTCCAGTTTTTCATGTTAATAAACACTCTCAGAGCTAGATTTTGAGAACCGTTACTTTAAGATAATTCCCACAAGCAGAACTCCCAGGTTAATTAGTAATCACACTTATGAGGCTTCTGGCAGGTGATGCCAAAATAACCTGCCTCCCCAGCCTCCCTTTACATCTATCCACTCAGACATATGCACTAAAAGAGGTCCAGAACCGCGCTGCCCATTACAGTGGGCACTAGACATACAAGGCTGTGTATATTTAAGTTAAAATTAATTAAAATAAACAATTCTGGTCCTCAGTTGCACTAGCCACATTTCAAGCACTCCACAGCGCATGTAGCTAGTGGTTACTGTAATAACACAGAAAACATTTCCATTATTGCAGAAAGTTCTACTGGACATCACTGGTCCAGATGTGATGTTTTATTGATGTTAATTATTGTTATTTTGGGGTAGAGCAATTTGGGGTGATTTTCCTTTTTATTGCATTTCTTGACCCCTTTATTTATTTTTTTGGCCGTGCTGCATCACTTGTGGGATCTTAGTTCCCTGACCAGGGATTGAACCCAGGCCCCAGCAGTGAAAGCACCAAGCCCTAACCACTGGACCACCAGGGGACTCCCTCTTGGTCCCTTTATAATGAGCATGTATCAATTATTGTTTTACATATATCATGTTTAAAAGCTTTCTCCTCTTTGGAAAGGTGTACCTCGTGCCCACTGGCCCCCCGTAGATATGTCTGATTATGGGAAAACTTCAGAGCCCTTATGTCTGGTCATTGGGTTTGAATTCTAATTTCCAAATTAGAGCTCCAAAAAAGTTGAACTAAGAATCTCTATTCAAATTTGCTTACATATGCATAAAGAAATTCTGGAAGGATACAAAAAAAAAAAATTAGGAACATTACTTACCTAAGGCACGCGGAGTGGGTGTCTTTGCAGATGAGGACAAGAATGGGAAGGAGATTTCCCATGTGAATGTACCACCTATTTAAAAATAGATTTAAAATAAATTTAAAATATATCTCATTAAATTACACAAATAGCATATGATTGTAAAAAAAAATTAATAGTAGACAGTAAAATTCCTTTCTCCGAAGGTTATTAATGGCAGGTTTGTGAGAATCCTTTCAGACTTGGGTCCGTTATGAACAATCACACATAATATCTTTTTTATATGAACAGGATCACGGGCACTTACGCTCGGCAGCGTGCTTCACACGTCTCTAAAATGTTATTCTGTCAGTGTGCTTTCATTCCTTAGGCATCACCAGAGTCCTACCTCCCTTCCTGTTGATGACAGCTGGAAAAAGTGGGCTTTTAAAGCTCCAGGACTTTTTTCTCTTATGTCTCCAGGTGGCCCTTGATAACACCTCCACGTCTCCTTTGAAAGCCCATGTGTCAGACCCGTTTCCAGATGACGGCAGAGCTGGCATCAGTCGGTCCAGGTCAGTCCCATCCTCACGGACGTTGCAGCTTCAGTTCCCTTACTTCTCACCCTCTCCCTTCCTCAGGTGTCTCCTTGTCTGCACCGTTCCCAGGCAGCAGGGGGTGAAGGGAGTAAGAGCATTTCCAGGTGGAGCCTCGGGGCAGAGAAGAGGCAGGGACATGGGGCACGAGTCACCTACAGGTCCCCTTCTTCTTCTCCAGGCAGCCAGTAACAGTCCCCTTGTTTCCTCCTCTTTTTTTTCCTTTGTTTGGCTGCGTCGGGTCTTAGTTGCAGCACACGGGGTCTTTTGTTGCAGCACGGGCTCTTTGTTGTGGTGCGCAGGCTTCTCTCTAGTTGTGGCCTGCAGGTTTTCTCTCTCTCGTTGTGGCCTGCAGGTTTTCTCTCTCTCATTGTGGTACGCAGGTTCCAGGGCACGTGGGCTCTGCAGTTTGCGGCATGCAGCTTCTCTAGTTGAGGTGCGCATGCTCAGTAGTTGTGGCGTGCGGGCTTGGTTGCCCTGCAGCGTGTGGGATCTTAGTTCCCTGACCAGGTATAGAACCCATGTCCCCTGCATTGGAAGGCAGATTCTTTACCACTGGGTCACCAGGGAAGTCCCCTTGCTTCCTCCTCTTGTCCACCTCCAGTTCCAAATCCACTTGCAGCCCCTACTGTGCTGGACACATTCCTGAACCTTACTTGCATCTTTTTTTGCAATTCTGTGATGGGTTTCCCACATTGACCTTGGAGAGTCCGTTCCACACACCTCCTTGGGCGCACCCTTGTCCATATCTCCCACAGGAGGGGAATAAGTGAGTAAGGGGCATTTCCAGAGGACTGGGTGGGCCTGGAGTAAGTGTGGAAAAAAGTGGAGATGAAATGTATGAGTCACCTACAGGAGTCACTGATGCTCTTGGAAGTCGCCCAATACCTGGACCTAAGAGAGAAATCTCAGTTCTGGGGCGGGGTGTGTGTGTGTGTGTGTGTGTGTGTGTGTGTGTGTGCCCCTTCCCCCAGAGGTCCAGTAACTCGCCCAGCTTCAAAGGCTCTGATCCTGGCCTCACAGGACTGGAACCAGCAAATCCATAGAGACATAAATTAGACTAATTGTTGCCAGGGGCTAGGGTTGGGGGGATGGGAAGTGCCCGTCAACGGGTACAGGGTTACTTTTTGGAGTGATGAAATGTTCTGGCTAGTGATGATGGTTGCTCTGTGAATATATTAATAATCCCTGAATTGTACACTTTAAAAGGTTGAATTTTATGGAATGTGAATTGTGTCCAATAAAAAAGTAATTTAGAGGGTTGCAAATCTATTGAGATATAATTTACCTGCACTAAAATGTGAACTCCCATCTTAATGTAGAGTTCAATGATTTTTGACAAGAACCCCCATGCCGCCACCACCACTCTAATCAAAATATAGAACATGTCCATCACCCCAAAAGTTCCCCTGTGCCCCTTCAGCATTTTTTTTCAACAACACTGAATAGAGTAGAAACTATCAGAATTCATCACACATAGTAAGGGGTACTAGTTCATAAAATTTACATTGTAGTTATATTTAAAGATATACACACGGGCTTCCCTGGTGGCGCAGTGGTTGAGAGTCCGCCTGCCGATGCAGGGGACGCGGGTTCGTGCCCTGGTCCGGGAAGATCCCACATGCCGCGGAGCGGCTGGGCCCATGAGCCATGGCCACTGAGCCTGCGCGTCCGCAGCCTGTGCTCCGCAACGGGAGAGGCCACAACAGTGAGAGGCCCGCGTACCGCAAAAAAAAAAAAAAAAAAAGATATATACACACACACATTATAGGGTTGTGATATGAATCACAGTCAAAAGGACTGAAAGTTCCTACTGAAACATGCACCATGGAAGGTGTAAGGGGGTCGTGGCAGAAACGTTATGCACTTGCTCTGAGGGTTGCTATGCGGCTGGGCTCTCTGCCCAGCACTTACATGCATCATCTCATTCAAGCCTTACAGCCACTTTCTATTACGTGCCTCATCACTCGTTCTGCAGATGAGGAAACAAGGCTTCACGATCTCTGCTGGAAGCCAGATCTAATTTCAAAACTTACTGCCCATAATGCCTCAGTTTTCTCTTTATGGGTTTATAATTCCAGCTGAAATGTCAAATCCTGGAGGATGAAGACAGTATCTGTCAACCTCAGATACTGTCATTCAAGAACAGCAAAACAATAAGAAGACGAAGAAGAGAAAAAAAAAGAGGACACAGTCCTCCCTGCATGGAGCTTGCAGTCGAGTCACAGGTGTGCACACCCACCAGAGAGCTTGAAGCACCAAAGACAGGAACATAGTGTCATGTTTCTCTTTGTAACGCTGCGTATAACCCTGGGTGTGATGGGCTGGTTTTTCCTGTGTCCAGTTGCTGGGAATGTTGCCCCAGCCTTTCTCTGAGACACTCCTGGGCAGTCAGACCAGGTGGACCCTGCAAGGGCCATTCCCTTCTGGGTTGTTCTGGAAAGCTCAAGACCTGAAGGAGTCCTCGTGACACAAAGAGTCCTGAGGGTGCAAGGACCCCAGACCAGGGGTCTTGCTGGAAACACTGGAGCCCTCCAGAGCCCTCCTACCAAACACTGGCCGCAGAGCAGCAGGGGGAGGATTACAGCACAGAATTCAACATTAGGGTTTTTGTCCCTGAATTGCGCCTCCATGATACACTGGTAGCCACCATCAATCTCTCATTTCAAGAGAGTCAAGCCAGATGGCATAAATCCTACCTTCCAGTTAGCCCTAATTGATTTCACCCTTATTGATTTGTTGCTAGTTAATGAGCCTGTTTACCTCAAGACCCAAATCCTTCTTTCCCCCTTAGATACTCTGGCATCATTAAATCTTTTAAACATTAGGAAATGTCTTTATTTTATAATTTTTAGGGAACGTCTTTAAATGCCAGTCTTGGACATCATTGTATTCAGCACACGGCATATTCTAGAAAAGTCAGGGGACCCCCAACAGAGACCAGTTTTACATCCAAGGAGTAGCTAACACCCTGGAGTCTCGAGGTTACTAGGGCCTTCTCAGTGTGTTCACCTGGGATGCTGTGGAAAGACTTGGAATCACACAGACCTGGATTTGGATCCCAGCTCTGTCACTTGTTAGCTGTGACCTTGGGCAATATACCTAACCTCTCTGAACATCAGTTTCCTCACCTCAAAAACAAAACAAAACAAAAAACCCCAGGAGCCTTGTAGGGTTACTGTGGGATTAGATGAGATCAAGGTATGCAGTAGGCACCTAATACATGCCAGCTCTCCTCCCCACCTCCTTCCTGCCAAGGAGATTAACATCCTACAAAGACAAAAACAGCCAAGCAACTTTCTGTAAAGGAGGATTTATATCTTCGTTCTTGTTTTTCCTGAAAGGGCACGAACAGGAAACCTTGCACTGGTAAGAACACCCTAACTCTGGTCCTTCCGCGCAGTAAAGTAAGGTTCCCACGGGGTCTTAACCGCCGTGCATTGTCATATATTATGTGATATGAACCAAGTGTGTTCACTGGAAAACGATTGTCTTGCCATCTGTACCGCCACCAAGGGGTCCGAGCCACCATCTCCCACTCACCTGGATCATTCGTCAGCCTCGTACTTCCGCTCTTGCTCTCCCAGAAGACACTTCTTTCCACGGAGGCGGGTTCTCAAAATGCAAATCCAATCACATCAGACGCCTGCTCCACACTCTCCGTTGTCTTTTCTGCAAAGCCCGACGCTGTCCATCCGCTGCCTACCTCTTCCGTCCCAGCCCCGACCTCCCCTCTCCCGGAAGCTGCACCAGCCACACGTGTTTTCCTTGTCCTCAAGCAGCCCAACTGGTTCCAGCCTCTGGGCCTTTGCAGCTGCTCCCTCCACCTGGAGCTCTCCTCTTCCTCCCAATGGATGCTTCGTTTTCAATACGCAGGTTTCAGCTCCAAGGCACCTTCTCTGAGATATCTTCTCTGATCATGTCCCCACCGCCATCACATCCATCACTTCACCCTATTTTATTTTCATCCTTGCACTTGCCGCTAACTAAAATTCTCTGGTACCTTGTCTGTCTGACTCACCGTGCACCCCAGTGCCTAGAACAGTGCCGGGCACAGGACAGGGATGTAATTCGTGCTTGTTAAATAAGTTAACCCAGGGAATTCCCTATCAGTCCAGTGGTTACGACTCCAAACTCTCACTGCTGAGGGCCGGGGTTCAATCCCTGGTCAGGGAACTGAAATCCCACAAGACACGCAGTGAGGCCAAAAAAAAAAAAAAAATTGTCTTGCCATTTACAGTATAAATCAATGATCTTTGGGATGGTCTCTCCTCATATTAGAGCTTCTAGTGTGTAAGTGTCTAGACAGTCTTTTATTTTTGGCATTTTTGGCAAAGTGACTTGCTTCTGGAATTTAACAAAACCAGACAACGCCTGTCTCCCTAGTCTCATCCAAAGCTGCGCCACCTCTTCTAGAATCTGCCGAGACTCTGGCTGCCCGGCTCCTCCATAATAACCAGGCACGGCTGAGACAGAGATTTTACAAATCCCACTGGAACACTCTGCTGCCTGAAACACTGGAGCACCAGTGGAGACTTGAAACTGGAGACAGCCCCAATCCAGCCAGAGCCCCTGCTCCTCGGTGGGCTGTATACATGAGATTAATTCAGGCAGGAGCCAGGCAAGAAATGCTGGCCCCTGAGGACGGCTAAGAGAGGGAATTTTAAGATCCAGATGGAAAAGAAAGCTGGGGCAGGAGGTGAGGGGTGGTGGGGTAGGGAGGACCCACCCCTCTGCAACCCAGGGGTTCTGAACCTGCTAGGACTAATATTAAATATTAAATTCGGGGTATTTATGTGCATGTGTATGTATGTACATTTTGGGAAGAGGGTCCATAGTTCTTACCAGAGTTGCAATAGGGTCTATGCCCTGAAAGGTTAAGAACCATGGATCTGGAAGGCATGCAATTAGGTTAGCGAATCATCATCCTCAACATGACCTGAGCTGAGACAATCACGAGAAAGGAAAAGTGCTTTGTGCTCCAAAGAAAACAAAAGCTATTTCCAACAGGAATTGGCTGTCACATTCTCTGCACTTGGAAAAAAATCAACAGAGCATCCGCCCAGCCTGCCCAGGGCCCATCCCTAAGCCCAGGTCTCCGGGGAAGGCTTCGAGCCTTTGTTTTCCAGTCTGTGGGCAACTGGCTGGGCAGAGAGCCAGAGGGGAGAGACCTTTATGGAAGAAAATACAGAAGCGTGCCATGTTGTGTGGGCTAGAAGCACCCGAAGGTGCTGACTGAAAGTGATGACTGCTACCGCAGGACCCACTAGGTGAGAAAGAATGTGCTAGTTGAGATTCAGTTCTCTCCTGACCCTTTGACTTGGCTCCAGCCACGATGTTGGGCCTGCTTTTTCCTCTGGGTGCCCTGGGCACCACAGTATTCATCACGGGCCTCAGTGCCTTTCTAAGTAGATTTTGGACCCTTTAGGGGTGGCAAGCCCACTTTTCTCCCTATGGCCACCCCAGCTATCAGACTGGAGCTCCTGCCTATTTAAGGCTATGTGTCACATCTGGTGTTCAGAAGGGACACTCCCTTCCCCTGCCCTTCTTGCCTTTGTAAGGGGAGGACCTGGGACGTGGCAGAAGGCCCAAAAAACGCTGGAAGGAGCCCCACAAGCAGGCGGGCGGGCCAGGAGCCAGAGCGCTGTGCCAGCACTTGGTGTAACCTCCAGGGAGGGTGCAGTCCACACACGTCCTGGCTTCTGAGAGGCAGGCACTGGGTGTCAGCCCACAGCCATCACCTCTCCTGCTCAGCCTCTCCATGAGCCCTGCGGAGTCTTGCTCAGCCTTGTTATTCTTCTGCGTTTGTATAGGTTCTATCTTTAATATATCCCAGCGAGGTCTCCTGATTTCCTCCCCCAACTCTGATTCTCCTCCAAGCTTCCCCATCTCAGCCTATGGCACCTTCATCACCTTGGGGCTCATCCTTCAGGTCCCAGCTAAACAGCACCTCCTCCTTGGAACGACCTTCCCAGGAACCAAATCTAAAGGTCCGTCCCCCTGCCCAGCGCCACCAGCCAACCCCGCCCCAAGATGCCCTCCTTCATGTCATTCTGTTTGTTGATGACGTTTATATTTACATTTCTATTAAGATATAATTCACATACCGTAAAACTCGCCCTGCTAAGGCACACAATTCAGTGATCTTTTCTTTTTTTTTGCGGTACGCGGGCCTCTCACTGTTGTGGCCTCTCCCGCTGCGGAGCACAGGCTCCGGACGCGCAGGCTCAGCGGCCATGGCTCACGGGCCGAGCCGCTCCGCGGCATGTGGGATCTTCCCGGACCGGGGCACGAACCCGCGTCCCCTGCACCGGCAGGCGGACTCTCAACCACTGCGCCACCAGGGAAGCCCCCAGTGATTTTTGGTATATTCACAAATTTGTGAGACCATCTTCATCATCTCAAAAAAGAACCCTGTACCCATTAGGCTCACTCTCCGTTTTCCCTCCTCCCAGCTCCTGTTAAGCACTAATCTACTTTCTGTTTCTATGAATTTGCCTATTCTGGACATTTCATATAAGCAGAGTGATATGTGACTTTCTGTGTCTGGCTTCTTTCACTTAGCATAATGTTGTAGCATATATCAGTGTTTCATTCCTTTTTATGCTGAATAATATTCCATTGTAGGTACAGACCACATTTTGTTTATCCATTCATCAATCGATGGACATTTGGGTTGTTTCCACATTTTGGCTATTATGAATAACGCTGCTATAAACATTCATGCACAAGTTCTGTGTGAACATATGTTTTCAATTCTCTTGGGTACATACCTAGCTGTGGAATTGCTAGGTCACATGGTAATTCTATGTGTAACTTTTTGAGGAAGGATTCTGTGTTTTAAATGTGTGTCCCACAGCACTATACAGTACTTTCTTTATCTAGTAGCCCGAGGTATGGGCATCTGCATGGAAAGAAACCCACACTGACAAGGATGTGGAGCAAAGGAAGTCTCAGACATGGCAGGTCTTCTCCTACTTACACATCCAAGAGACACCCCTGCACATATGCACTAGCATATACAAACAAGGATGCTCCCAGTCATACTGTTGGCCAAAAATAGGAAATAACCCAATGTCCATTCACGGTAGCTTGCATAAATACATTGTGGACTATTCATCAAAGAAAATAAATGAACTACAGCTACACATCACAGTATGGATGAGCCTCACGGTGTTGAAAGAAACAAGTCACAAAGAGAATATGTATAGTACAATTTCACTTATATAAAGTTCCAAAACAAGTAAAATGAAATCATGTGCTTTAGGGATGCAAATGTGGGCAGAAAAACTATTAAAAGTTATTTCAACCAAAAAACAGGATATTGGTTACCTCTGGCAGGGAGAGCGGGAGGGACACAGGAAGGTCTTCTGAAGGGCAGCCAATTTTCTAGTTCTTGTCCTGGGTGATGAATACACCAGGGTTCACTTTGAATTATTTTCAGCTGGACATAGGTACTTACTTACTCACTATTCTGAAAGTTTCATTTCACAATTCAAAGAAGAGACAGGGGACTTCCCTGGTGGCGCAGTGGATAAGGATCCACCTGCCAATGCAGGGGACACGGGTTCAAGCCATGGTCCGGGAAGATCCCACATGCCGCGGAGCAACTAGGCCCGTGTGCCACAACTACTGAGCCTGCACTCTAGAGCCCGTGAGCCACAACTACTAAGCCCACGTGCCACACTACTGAAGCCCACGCACCTAAAGTCCACGCTCCACAACAAGAGAAGCCACAGCAATGAGAAGCCTGTGCACCGCAATGAAGAGTAGCCCCCGCTCGCCGCAACTAGAGAAAGCCTGTGCGCAGCAACAAAGACCCAACGCAGCCAAAAAATAAATGAATAAATTTAAAAAAAAAAAAAAAGAGAAGAGACAGAACCCAGATCTAGGGGTCAGGACACCTGGATTCTAGATCGGGTTACCACCAAAGAGCTGTGTGACAGAAGAAAAATTATTTGTCTCTCTGCCTCGACTTTCTTATCTCTAAAATGGGAATGATAATAACAACTGACACTTGTTCAGGACTTACTGTTCCCAGGTACTGTGCTAAGTGTTTTCACATGTGTCATCAGTTATTAGTAATACATCCCACGAGCACAAGAAACACGTAACTGAAGCCAGCTTAGGCAAGAAGTATTACATGGTTGCAGAAATGGCCTCTAGAACCTAAAGGCAGGGTGCAGTGGGGAACAGACTCTGGGGGCTCTGTCTTTTATTGCTGCTTTTCCCTCTGGAACTGTTGCATACTTCTCTTCTGCTATAAACTGGTTGTTTTTGCATCTCACTCACAAGTCCCAGGTTTATATCTTCTGCATTCAAAACACCAGCCAGACTAAGCCTGGCATCTCTCAGTACAAATTACGAAGTTCGTTGGGAAAAGAATTCTTACTGCTTTAGTTTGGATCCAGCCTCTGCTCTGATCCAATGAACTGTGGCCAAAGGTCAGAGTCATACCACGCAAAAAGCCTGCCAGGGACGAATATCATGAAACTGGGGACTATGGATGGCTGGCAGTTCAGCCCATGGAAATTTAACTCTGTATAGATGTATATTCCTAAGATCGCAGCTCCTAGAATGGCAGGGAGAGTGGAAGAACCGACAACCCAACATCAACTGTTATCTCATCTACTCTATATAACAACCCAGTGAGGTACTGTGAAAACCCCCCAATGTATGGATGAAGAGACTAAGAATCAGATTAGAGTCAGGGGTTTCCCAACAGCAGCGCTGTTGACATTTTGGCCTGCACAGTTCGTCGTGGTAGGGAGCTATCCTGTGCATTGTGCGATGTTTAGCAGCATCCCTGGCCTCTACCCACTGGATGCTAATAGCACTCCTCCAGTTGTGACGATCAAAAATGTCTCCATATGTTGCCAAATGTCCGCCAGAGGTGAGAAACACCGACACAGGCTGAGTAAATTTCACGACACCGCTCCACGGGTAAGACAGAGACAGGATTCAAATGCAGGTCTGTCTGACTCTAAAGGCTTCTTTCTCAGTCACTGTCTCTCTTATGATCATATCTAAATTACCTACCTCATAAGGTTTAGCGAGGATATATTGAATGTGCAAGCACCTTGAAGAGTTAGGGGGAGCAGAAATAAATTATGTCTCCACATTCTGATAAGCTTCCAGTTCTGTGGATCAATGTGACCCCTCAATCAGGACAGGGCTCTGCAGCGCTAAGGAATTTGAATTCCATGGGTCTGACCACCAACCAGATTCCCCATTTAGTATCGTGATGTGATTACTCTCCAAAGCCTCTCCGTCATGAGGATTGACATTCCCAACGACTTGCTATCCCATGTCCAATTCTACTCTCCAACCTACGATTTACGGTAACTTTTCTTTTTTCCTTTGCTTTTCTTTTTTTTTTTTAACAGTAACTTTTCTTACCTGGTTTTCCTCTAGTGGTGCCAAGTCTTTTTCCAGATAATTTGGTCCCTAAAGCCTATATATTCTCCTTCCACAAACAACTAACTGAACATATTCCATCTCTTCCTCCATGAAGTAGAGGTCTTAACCTAGGCTGCCTGAGGTTCCGTGGTGCATTTGCCAAACTCCAGTGGTTTCCCTGGAGTGGACCCTCCCATAACTAGAACGCCTCTCTGAGACTGTTGCTTGACCAAGCCCTACGTGGACAGACGCCAGCCTGTTAGTTTTCATTTTGGTTTGTTTCTTTATATATTTATTAAATTTAATTATTTTTGGCTGTGCCAGGTCTTAGTTGCGGAGAGCGGGCTTCTCTCTAGCTGTGGCGCACGGGCTTAGTTGCCCCGCGCCATGTGGGATCTTACTTCCCCCGCCAGGGATCAAACCCACGTCCCCTGCGTTGGAAGGCAGATTCTTTACCACTGGACCACCAGGGAAGTCCCTTCATTTTGGTTTTTAATAGTCATTGTGACTGAATTCTAAAAACGATGAAGTCCTTCATCTGCAAGGCAGTGAGGCCCTCCCATCGGAACCCTAAGGGAAAACATTTTGGCTGAGATTAGAGAAGGCTAGCCACACACTAGTGACGGGTTCTTTACAATGAGCTTCTGCAAGTCTATCAAAGAAAGCACATCCTTACAGCTGAGTTTGGCTGCCGAATAAAATGACCAGGATGTGTCATTCATATCCTTCCAGTCAAGATATAAACAGTCTGTTTGGAGGTCTGGTTACAATATAGTATCTTTTGGTAAACTTTTTTTTGTAATTGAAGTATAACCTACATGCAGAAAAGTACACAAATCATAAGTCTACAGCTCAATGAATTTACCCTGAAGTAAACATACCCATATAACCACCACCCAGATCAAGAAATTACCAACATTTCAGAAACCCCTCTCAGGCCCCCTCCCAGTCACTATGTTCACCCTCTCCTTAAATGTAACCACTCTAATTTTAATCTTATGACCTGCATATTTTTTGTGTATCTGATGGCCCAGATAATTATCTCTGGAGGCCAGAGTTAATCAGAAGCTGGAAGGACTGTTTCTCTATGTGTCATTCCTCTTAAGAATAGTTTATCAGGGCTTCCCTGGTGGTGCAGTGGTTGGGAGTCCGCCTGCCAATGCAGGGGACATGGGTTCGAGCCCTGGTCTGGGAAGATCCCACATGCTGTGGAGCAACTAAGCCCGTGCGCCACAACTACTGAGCCCGCATGCCACAACTACTGAAGTCCACGCGCCTAGAGCCTGTGCTCTGCAACAAGAGAAGCCACTGCAATGAGAAGCCTGCACACAGCAACGAAGAGTAGTCCCTGCTCACCGCAACTAGAGAAAGCCCGCGCGTAGCAACAAAGACCCAATGCAGCCAAAATGAAAGAAAAGAGAAAGGAAGAAAGGAAGGAAGGAAGGAAAGAAAGAGAGAAAGAAAGAGAGAAAGAGAAAAAGAAAGAAAGAAAGAAGAAAGAAAGAAAGAAAGAAAAAGAAAAAGAAAGAAAGTGCATGGTAAGAATAGTTTATCAGCAAGGATGCTTCCAGCTGCAAGTAATAGAAAACCCAACTCAAATGGCTTAAACAATAAGGGAATTTATGATCTCCACACAAATGGAAGGCTGCTGCAGGGTGTGCTTCAGGGTTCATTGCATCAGCAGCTGGAGGCAACAAAGTCTCAGGTTCTCTCATTCTCCACGCAGCCACCTTCGCGTTTACTTCATTTCAGGCTGGAAGCAGGGCAGCCATAGCAGTTATTTCTGTGGCTCTGGAGAAGAAATTTCTTCCAGAGGTTTCATGCCACTGGTAAGAATTGGGTCACATATGTAACCATGTGAAATAGAACTGTCCCAGCTGTCTCAGACTTATCATCTGGGATAGGATGGATGTTGAGAAGCCCACCCCAGTGCTCCCTACAGAAAGCCACAGAATAAAATCGGAAAACGTCTGGCTCCTCTAATGTATAAACATGCTTTATATTGATAAATGGTAACAAGGGTCATAAACAGGGGAGATTTGTGGCTGAACATACTGTTGGAGATTCAAGGTTAGAGGTAAGTAACTCTCTGGGAGGAGAGAATAAACTGACCGTGGCAAAATAAACACAGCCGCTCCTGTCCCCCGCTCCCCTGAACGTCAATGATCCTTCCTCTCTGAATTGCCCATTTGGGCACTGAGTCATAAACATATTTAACGTTATTGGGATAGTGTCTGTTACCAGTGACGTTAAGCACAGAACATAATGTTTCAGTATACTCTTAGTATACAAATCCTACCCCTTTACAAATCACATGATGGCAGGCAAGGGCACACGGAGCCCATCATTTATTTTATTTTAGTTTTTTAAATTTATTTTTCGCTGCACTGGGTCTTCGTTGCTGCACGCGGGCTTTTCTCTTGTGGAGAGGGGGGCTACTCTTCGTTGTGGTGCGCAGGCTTCTCATTGCAGTGGCCTCTCTTGTTGCAGAGCACGGGCTCTAGGCATGCGGCTTCAGTATTTGTGGCACATGGGCTCAGTATTTGTGGCTTATGGGCTCTAGAATACAGGCTCAGTAGTTGTGGTGCACAGGCTTAGTTGCTCTGCGGCACGTGGGATCTTCCCGGACCAGGGCTCGAATCCCTGTCCCCTGCATTGGCAGGTAGATTCCCAACCACTGCGCCACCACGGAAGCCCAACCCCGTCATTTAAATGCTACAAAGTGAGTCATGGCTCTTCAGAACACTCCAGTTCCTTCAGTTACCTCGATGATACCCCAGCCATTCAGTCCCCCTAGATGTTTGAATATTCTCTACAACACCAATTTTTGAATAAATATGATAAATATGAGACTCATATTAATATTCACTTGTTACAGTAGCTGGGAATGTAACAGATTTACATCCCTTTTTTCAATGTGCTAGTCACATATTATTCCAACACAGATGAATACCTGTTGGTGAAATCTATCATCAAAGAAGATCTGGGTAGGTAAGCTATACCCATCAGTGAAAAACAATCACAATAATGGGAGATACAAGAGTGATATTTTTAAATTAAGTGGTAAAACATGTATGTCTGTGGATGATAGGACAGATACATTTCAAAGATAAGGTATTAATTACACTGTATATGTATATACATTTTATA